ATTTGGTCCCAACATGTTTCATTATCTCACAGCAAACGTGGAATTACATGTCATGCAGTGGCACTGGTAACAGTAAAAGTCATCACAGTTTCCAGCTGCTGAAGCACCTCCAATAACAATGAATCACATTGTCAGATGTTGTATGAAGTCAAGGTCAAATTTCTGAATGTGCTGGCTAATAATGGAGGATCCACTGCAAAGTCTTATCTCTCTGCTTGTCTTCCCAACAAGAACATTGCTAATGAACCATTACTTCTGACCTGCAAACAGTCCTATGCATCAGTTCTATGACACATAAAAGGCTCTTTGGAAGAGCTGTTCTTGCCAACAGCTTCTCTGCTGGATATTAAAACTTAGATTATTCACTGTTCTTCTGGTACCCTCCAGGTTTTCACCATTTTGAGACATCATTTTGACCCAATAGCATATAACTTAAAGACCTACTTTTTTTTTTTCTCACTGACAGCAACAATTTTGAAAAAAGGGACAACGTTGTTAATGGTTGGACTCAATGATCTTAAAAGTCTTTTCCAACTTAAATGATTCTATGATTCTATTACAATACATATTATACTAGGCATATCTTCTGAATATTAAGTAAAAGAGAAATTGTATGGAAAGCCTTAAGAACAAAGCAGAAGTGTTCATATTTGGTAGCAGTTGGGTAGAAAGCAGGCCATCCATCAATAAATACTCATTAGATGTTTATAAACCTGGCTAGAATTTTTAAGAACACCTTGCCTTAGATAATACCTGTGTATTAGATAGTATATAGATACTGTGTATAGATAATACCTGTGATACCTGTGTACAGGTCCACACTGGCATCCACAGAGTGATGTTCCTTCAGAGAGAATTATTGTTTGATTTCTTATTTGAAGCATGACTCCTTAGATCTATCAAAAGCTTCTCTTGCTTTTTTAATGCAAAAAGCACCAGTATATCTTTTAGGGTTTGCATGCTCTATTAAGAAAATATTAACTGCTCTATTAACTGGCAATTCTGAAAGTTCATGGTATTTTAAAAGAGAACAAAAATATGAGAACAATCTTCTAAATGCTGAAAATGACAACTTTAATTATAAAGTTTTTTTTTCTTCATATTTTAGCTTTTTCTCAATTCAAAATATAGTAGATTTACACCATCAGTATATTAATAGCTTTGGTAAATACAAACATTATAGTCAGTTTTAACATACAATCAGCAGTAAGCTTTGAACATTTGTATTCTCTATTTTTTGTCATAGCAATGCTACAATTCAAATAGACTTTAATACAACATATCAGATACTCTCTATCATACATAAGCTTGAAACAACAGAAAAATGTTATGAAGGTAAGAGATTATGCTGAAAGATCAGCACTTATAAAGATTTCTACTTTATTAATATAGTGTGCTTCTTTCTGAAGTGGGTGGGAATACAATTTTTTTCAGGAAGGATATATATATAGTCAGTAGAATTCTTGTCCAGCTGAATCAATTTTATCCCAACCACACAAGGAACAGTTGTGTAGAATAAGGATTCCTTATTTCCAGTCACTGACAATATTACCATCTTGAACTAGCGAAGGACCTCTACTACTACAAACATTTAATTTGTTCGTAAGATGGTTGGAATATTTACTCACCATATATGTTTTTCTTTTATATCATTAGCTTCCTTTTTTAACTACCTGAGTTTCCAGACATTAGATGTGTGTTTATTGCTTGCTCAAGGGCTCCTTAGTTTTCTGTTTTATATTAACTGCCACTGCGAAGCTTTTGCATTTTCTAAACATACAAAGCTTTTGTATGTGAAAAACAGAGAGATTTTAGAAAATGCAATAAACAGATCTTAATACTGTGGGTACTCCTCTGGTCGGTATTTACCAGCATTTTTTGATTGGGCTTTCACATGCAAGGAATTCAAACACCTCATATAATTCAAAGAAATTTGTTGTCAGCAGTTACCTTCAGCAAATATGCTTTGATTTCTCCAAACAGCAATATCTATTTTGTTTGATCAAAAACTGCTTTCATCTCTATTGGCATCTAACTACCTTCTCCTACTCTGTATCTCTATCTTTTTACTGATTTAAATCTTGTCTTAGTGTTTCCTGTATTCTGTGAGGAACCCTTGCAGGCTGTAGCTAGTGGTGCTATCCTACTTATTTTGCAACTATAAATGTTTCAGCACCTTATCTAGTTTCCTTGTTGAAAAGGAACAATCCTTTATATTTTCCTGTCCTGGTATTCCCCCAGTGATCCCTAGATTTTATTTCAGAGAAAAATCTATGTTGATGTTCTGAGGGATCTTATGGTGCTATTTTTAGTAGTCCCTCAAGGCAATTTGGTCTTGCTGTTGTAAAACAGAAAATAAAATATATATAGTTACCTTGACTAGTAGATGAATAAATCCTCCTTAGGACTGAATTAATGTGCAATGGCATATTGGACCTCAGGAAAACCTGGAATGATAGAGGCCAAGCACCAGAAAAAAATGTGTACCAGATCCAGTAATGTGTGGCCAGATACACATTTGGGACTGACTGCTTTTGGGCAGAATTACTCTGATGAACAGTTAAAGCTGCTACAGGGACTGAGACTGTCAAGCACTCCTTTCTGTGCAGAAGAAGACTGTGCAGGTATGCCCCAAAAATTAGAAGAAATTGAGTTCCAAACGTTAAGGCAACAGAGTAACTTTATTGATAAAAACAGATAGATAAATACATAGGTAGATGGCCAATCCTTTGCCATAGCAAAGGCAATAGGGATCCAGATGGGAGCCTGAGGCACTGCAAGCAAAAATGGTAGTCACGGTTGAGGAAACGGAGCACCAGCAAGTGGCAGGCCAACAGGCCATTGCAGTGGAGAGACCTTGGATAAAAGTATGGGGTGGGGGGAAACAAACTGTTTCCTTAATTCTCTTATTCAGGAAGCAAATTGTAAAACTTATTTAATCACTAGTGATGAAAAGTTATGGCTGCCGAGATGTCTTGGCATTGTACACAATGTTTGTTTTAGCACAGCATGTTGCTTGCAGAAGGATTAGTCCTGAAAGTTATAGGAAGTTTGTACTTCACTCTTTTTACAATTAAAATTGAATGACTCAAGACAGTAGAGTTACTGTATGAGTAAAAAATAGCAAGATGAGGCCATTAGAATTTGCCAGTCATCCGATGTCATGAGCTTTCTCCATTTCAAAACAAAATTTGTCCTGAAAAAAAACCAAACAAACGGAAAATCTCCACGTACCATCTCTTCTCTCTGTTCAGTGCTCTTGAGTTATTTCTAAATATTCAAACCCCTGGAACTCAAAAGGACACTTTAAAAAGGAAAAAACAACCAAAATGTAATTGAAACTATAGCTCTTGCCAGAGTCACTGCTCTACAAACATTCGAAGTGGCTCATTACCAATATGGAAACTGTTGCTATATGCTTGGACTGTTTGTCAGCCTAGATGAATAGGGAAAATGGGATAAAGAGATTTAATTAAGCTATTAAGAAGGGATATAGTCAAAGACCAGTAGTTGCATTCACTTTGGATTTAGGGGAAGCGATGACACAAAGCTTGGTTTTGACTGAACTAGTAAGGATTGGCTGAGCTCCACTGAACTCACATTGTACCACTAGAAAATCTGGCCTCTATAGTTACAATGTGGACAGCTAGTCTGTCTGAGTTCACCTCACAATTAAAAAATTCCCACACACTCCAAAAGCGACACTAATTCTGGTTCTCCTTTGTTTCAGGTATGACACAGTTGTTTAATTATAATCAGCAATCTCAAGCTGTGAAAACCAGAATTTTATGACTGGAGAGAGAGGCAGGAATTCCTCTGAAGTCAATTTTCTTTAACAGCCAAAATATCGTTACATGGTTCTGAGTATATGAAAGGGGGCAAAAGGCTGATAGCACTCTATAGGTCCTGCTATCACTGGAGGAAAGATTTTTGGTGTTCCCATGACTTCTGTCGGAGATGCAGCAGAAATCAATTCACCCCATTCACCTTCTCTCAGAGGAAATATTTACATTTTTATTGAACTGGTGGTTCAGGGGTTTTCAGTTTTAAAAACTCAGTCTTACAGCTAAGATTACTGAATTTCTCTAATGCTTGTGCTAGAAAGATAAAGCCAGATTCCTTTTTCAAAAATAGTAAAAAGAGTAAAATATTAATATATCTTAGAAGGAAACAGGTACATAACAGCAAAATATTTGAGCTCTGCAAGTGCTGGGTTTTGTACATTTTATACTGCACTAGTCACAGAATATAATGTGGTTGTACAATGGTTCTTATAAAACATATCTTAAGCATTTAGTAGATTTGGCACAATATTGGTATTCTTTGGTAAAAATGCAAATGCAGGGATTTAAGATTCTAAGAATAATTCAGATTACATATCCTTTGGGTCCTGAGAAAAGACTGAGATTGTGATTGAAAGACAAAAATATCCCATTTCTTCACTTTTCTTGTTCATATCTGTCTTTTCTTACAGCATTCTTGTGGCCAGTGTCCATAATCAATAGTGGAGTCCAGAAGCTTTCCCAGCTTTAGTGCAGAGAAGCGAGTACAAATGATCATCAGTCTCAAAAGCACAGCTGTAGATGACTTTATACATACCCATATAGAAAGCAAAACATGAGAAAAAGCATACTGAGTTGAGCAGAGCTCACCAGTGTCTTATCTGTTATCTTGTATTTCTCCACCTCTATTTTCAGTAGTTCAGGGCACCATCACAGCTGGGGATGAGCAGGTGCAGAGAACAATTATCCTATTTCCGGAGCTAACTGTGGTCTTCAATTAGGAAGCCAACTTAATGGGGTAAAGAAACTCATCACTGTTGATTCTTAGACGAGGAATATAATCTTTTTGTGTGATAGACTAATCTGTTTATTTATAATAAAGAATTGATAGTCAGTGTAATTGACTTATCTAGCAGAATGTAAAGGATATACAGAAGCCATACAGAGGGAGACATCAATACAAGCCAGTGGGATGCAGATGAACAAGCTTCTTTGCAGTTATGGTTGCATTTGTGACAGATTTATCAGTATCTGCACCAGAACTGAATTCCTCTCCCTGCAAAAATCAAAAATCCTGCTGGCGGGCATTCAAGAGAATTTTCCAATGCAAAATAAATAAATAAATACTCAAGCAAAAATATCTTACATGAAAATATCTAGCTGAGCTTCATCGTCTCAAAAGGCCTGCTCAAACCAGGATGTTTTACATTTTAATATCTACCTATTTATGCACACATGCAGGGACCCTACCAACTAATTGGAATCATATTTGTAAGTCTAATGAATATTACATACTACATTGAAAATTCCAACGTTTTGCAGTTCTCAAGCTGCAAGAAATAAATCCTTCATTATTACCTTTTCCATGTTTTCCAACAGTTTTATTTCTTTGAAGTGTCTTTGATTGTTACACATGTAAAATTCAAAAAATAAAAAAAAAATCCCAATCTAAATCCTCAAACAAACAAAACAGACTCCCCTGTGCCAATAAAACTGCATATTTAAGGGGAGGAATATGATATTTAGTCTACAAAGCTATTTTTATTCCAGCTACATCAACTTTATCTAGTTTAATGTTTGTTCTGTGACCATTTGAAATTCAATTTCAGGTAGTATCATATCAGCATAGGATGCATCATTAACTTGCAAGGCTTGACATTTGCTATCTTTATCTGGTTTCGGTGTATCATTCATACTGAGATATTGTTTCTTCTTATCTGATATTGATTTCAACTGTGACAAGCTGTGCTGCTAACAAAATCTACAGGCAAGTATCTGGCTTTTAGTTCTTCACTGGTAGAGGAAAAGAAACAACCCAGTGACAACAAAAAGTAGAGATACTTTTCAACTAGGATGCTTGCCTGTATCCTCATATTATCCATTTCTTAGCACTTCTGTTGATGTAGCATTTCTGACTGATTCACTTGCGGAAGTCTTCATGGAAATCCTTGCCTCTCAGATGAAATATTCCTTTTTGCTTTCATCCACTGCTTCCTGAAGAGTGGGGTCATTTTTCAAAGCAGCATCTGCACATTCAGCAAACTCAGTTCCTTTTGCCTCATTGGTGTGATAGGTGCCCTTATGTCTATACATGTACCGGACCATCACTACCAGCAGGCAGATGAGGACAAATACTACTGCAGCAATCACACCTAGAAGAGGGAGACTAGTTAACTATATTCCCAGTAATAAAATACGAGCAGCATCTCAGAGAGAGACATCACAACTTGAATTACTTGATAAGGAAAAGCCTATGTATCATAAACATCTGCATGTTGCAGTGGCCAAAGTCAGAACAGAGTCTGACACTGAAAAAACAAAATGGGATATAGATACTGAAGGAATGCAAATCAAATTCTTGCTAGCTTTCTTCAAATCAATGGCTTGCTTTGGTTGAACTCACTAAAAAATTCATTACAAAATGAGGAGAAATAAGAGAACATAAAGAAAACACAATAGATTTCTTTCAACCTTCTGTAACATATACCCAGCAGAGTTTGCAGGCAACCCAACCCTGCCTCCACAGGTGTACTCAATTTCAGGGGAGGTACAGGGTATTATGTATTTCTTAGGAGACATTCAACGAACAGCAGGAGCCAGGTGACTTCAGTACTGTTCTGTATTTGCAAGCTGCCATTTCATGCTGTGTTCTAATTAAGAAAGTCTGATAGTAATGAATGTGGAAGTGACGCCTGGGAGGAGGAAGGGATTCTGGGTAGATCCTTCCTATCTCCTGGACCAAGGCTAAATACTAGCAATGTGTTGACTGGCCAAAAATTTCCATAGGTAACTCATATGTGCATAGGCCTAAATAGTGAATGGAAGCGCTCCTAGTGAAGTAAATTCAAGTTCCAGGAGTGGCTGTGCAGAGAACATTGTGTGTCCTTGCTTTCCAGAGTCCTTTCCTTTTTTCCTGTTCTACTGTGAAAGGTGTCCATAAAAGAGTGGCACCCTGACAAGTCTAAAAAATTACAAGCTATACCCCCTTCCTTGTTCAGTTAAGGATCCCGAAAATAAATGAAATATTTTGAAGTTTATTCAATTTGTGTGGTTTTCATTTTTTTTTAACACTGCGTACAACTGGGATGTACTTATAAACACTTTAGCTGTGACTCTGTACAACTACATGATACTGAACTGATTCTATATTCACATGACTCCAGAAGTAAACCATACATTAATGAAATACTTGGTAAAACACACCAGAAAAGGACATTCCTAGGAAAATCCCATTTGTGGAGTATGAAGCTGGTATGACAATGCAATAGGTAGGAATTCATTTGACTTACTGTAGGCATCTACAGTTCAGGAAGCTTCACCTGAGTTACCTTGGGCTTCCCCAGCTGTCAGTGGATGGTGTGTGTGTGTGTGCAGGGTGATTCCTCTTCTAGAATTGAATTCTTATGCTTGATCAGACAAATTGCCCCCCAGAAACGTTTACTATTGTGCAGAGACAATGAGGGTTATGCAGACAGTATCTCTCTGCTGTCCCCTGTGTTCAAGATTTGTGGCAGGAGTGGGTATCTCTAAATCTTTAGATTTATCAGCATCAGTAAACTGAGTGGGAATACCCTATTGGCATCAAAACATAGGAATGGACAGAATATTAATGGAGTAAATAAAAATGATTAACTCTCTCTCAAAAAAAATATGCCTGCAATGTTATACCACAGATTTTCAGGTTCTTGGTTCTGGAAAGTGAAGTTACTGCTGGCAGAAATGAAATTGCTAATACAAAGAACTTTAGGTTTAGAATAATATCTTAGTTGCAGTGGGGGCTTCACCAGTTTTTAGGACCTCACTGGTATCCCTTGACACTAGAGGCTTTAATAGGCTTTGGATGTAGCACAATATTAATAAGCCTTAGGGACTAAGTACAAATCAATTTACCTGCTACTTGTTCATAGAAAGCTAAAATTAAAGTTACAGAAGATGGGACCTGAGGGAAATATAGCAGAACCTCACCAATTTGCACTAATGAATGGTGTACCCCCTCGTGAATGACTGAAATTAGTGTGTTAGCATGGAAATGAACAAACACAATAAAAATAAAAAGGTTCTCTCCATAAACATGGCTTTGTTCATTTATTCTGACAACTGTATTTAGTTTAAATGCATGAGAGAGCTTTAATGGAACACCAGAAAATTCACTGTAGTATGTTCTGCTTCAATAAAGGGTCAACTGGAATGAGCTAGCATGGCTCAAATCAAAAGTGCTATACCAGTCCTGTGTTAAATGACAATTTTGGCCCAGTGAATAATGAAGAATATCAGAGTCTGACTTTGCTGCTGGACTGCAAAGCATTTTGTCCTAAAATTAGGAATGGATGGGGTCCTACTGCTCAATATATGGTTTATGCTCATTATCTCATCTCGTTATCTTGCCAATAGCCCCTTCTGGGAGCAGATTTCCCACTGGCCTATAACTCTAATTGTGCTGCTCCTGTTGTCTTGTCAGCAAAGTAGGGGTTTTGCAAAATGCAAGAAATCAACCAACCCGCTGTTTTAATTCTAATGGTAATGCTTAGTACGGTCTGCTACTTACCTCCAATAACAGCCACATCTGCTCCAGCTGTGGGGCTCTCAAAGTCTTCATCTATAAATAGATTAGAACATATAAAAGTTAATTAAAGAAAGAGGAATTGTATCATATGTAACAGCAGTGACTGTACTGGTGGTGCTGAATTATTTTAACCTCTGAAACTCAGAATTTAAACAAGATCTCTTATTAGCAAAAGACATTTATGAAACTTCTCCTTAGAGTTAGCTGTACTGTAACAGTTTACTGTCACCATAACACTGGAAAATAAATAGCTAGCACATTATGCAAACTATCGTGGCCCTCAGGGAAACACCTACTGTTTATTATGAGCACTTACCTGTAACATCCTCCAGTGAATGATTAAATTAAGAGCGTTTAGGTACTGCGATTACTCTCAGAAAGGTAGTTTTGGGGAAAAAATGTTGGTGCCTATTTATTTTCCCATTTGTGGCTCTTCAGAGTATAGTCTGGATCTTGATTTGATGCAAATTAATCTGGCTCTATTGATTTCAGTTATTATTTTATTTATCTGCAATATCCTGGTTTTAATCTTAGCATTTGTTTTCTTTTAAACTTACGTTTGGAATCAAGACCAGCCTGTTATGTGCGTGGTATAAAACAGGGTCCCCATTTAGAGTAAGTCTGAATTTGCTGCTGCTAAATTAAAAAAAAAAAAAAAATACAACTTTGCAATTTAAATGCAAAATAGAAGTACTTGAATGTGTTTTTTTCAAGAAGAATTTGGTCTGAAAAGTTATAAGTTTCTGAAAGAACAGCTAGAATTTGAATTACATTTGACCTTAGTTGAAGCACTTACTAAGAATATCCAAACCAATAATGAATAGCCAGAGTGTTTTGAAGAGGAGTGGAAAAAAATTCTAAAAACCAGTGACGATTTTTCTTTCCATATTATTTGATATAGACCTTAAGTGAAAGTAAATTCATATGGACACATGTCTTCACTAGCTTCCCTTTGCTTGATAAGAGTACAATTCTGATCTTGTTTTTGTTTTTTTATTTCATGCTGTTGATACCAGCCCACACAGTCCTGATTTATGGGGATGTCTAAGGTGATGAATTCTTGGAGTCTTTCCATGCTAGCTTTATGACAGTATACTCTTTTTGTAATTTATTATTGTGTTATTTATACAATTGTACACAATATTGGTTTTCAAACAAATGAAAAGCTTTATGTGAATTTTATTTTTTTTTTCTTTTGGTAAACACAGTGGAAATTTATAGACATATTTGGAATTAGCATTTTTCTCTAGAAAAGGTAAAAAAATTAATTCCAAAACTTTCTATAAATTCATCAGTGGTACTATGACTGATACCTGGCTCTCCTTTTGCTAAATCTGTGACATATGATGCAAGGATAAGATACTATCAGCAGTTTTCTCCTTACTCATGTACAGTCTCTTGTATCAAATTGCAGTAACTAAGGAAAGCTGAGATTCAAAGAATTCCCTCTTCCCAAACATGGGAGATGTCTTTTGTAGAAAGTAGGAGTACTTTTTTCTCCCACTGAGATCCTTCCTGTTTTGTTCCTGCTATGCATTGATGGAAAGATTGAGCATGCCTTGTGTAATTTAAAAATTCTAATTATGTCTACATCCATTCAAAACCCATGTGCCTCAGAAGAGATTAATTGCTTCAAGGTCAAACTGTTCTGTATTTCTTCATACACCAAGTATATGTGGCATGCCAGAAAAACAGGCTCCTCTACAGCAATCAAATACTCAAAGGTGTGAATTCCCTAGCCACATAACTTCCAAACATTAATTCCAGATCACATCATTATCCCTTTAATTATAAAATGTATACAAGTAACTCTCTGGTCTTTCCTGTTGTTCCCAGGTGCCTCTCAGATTCAGATAACAAAAAGCAGGTGCCTTATCTCTACTACTTGCCACCACAATGCTTTTTGATAATGTATTCCAGTATCATCACTTGCAGGAAAGTTTTTATTTCCATACTGCTCTTTCTAAGTTTTCAGAAGAAAGCTAGACCCATCTAGAGCCATCACGTAGTTGGCACTGATCTGTTAAGCTGATGATGCAATGCCATTCAGCAACCATCTAACACTGTTTCCATTTTACTGCAAACATGAGAGTATGACTTCTTTGTGTATCAACTTTTGACCATGGAACAGGCTCACTGTCCTCCCATATGGCCTTTTGCTGCATCATCCGGAATGCCAGAACACTGCAGCTACCACCAATGACCAGAAGTTTCCAGGGTGTGTTCCCCAGAGCAGTTTTGGAGCAGTCACAATGGAGAGGAGAGAGGGACCCTCACTGCCTTTCTCATGGTCTCTGAAATTACACTTTGTCCAAAACCAGCTATGTAATTCATGGCAATATCACGATATTGCTAGGTAGTGGGTGAAAGTATCAGTGTCATTCAAGATTCAAGATTCAATTAGTATTACCCTTCATGAAACATGACTGAGGAAAATTCAAGGCATGTGTTCATGAAATGAAGCCATCATGCAGATCAGGAGGGAGACATCTCCTTATCCAGACGGGAATCCATGCTTGGCCAGGAACCTCAGCCTGGTCTCTTTAAAATTCAGCTCTGTGTGAGAATATACTTCATTACTACTATAGAACTGAATCTTCACTTTCTGAGGCAGAAAAGATATTCACATACCAGAGGAATTTTTAGCTGAGCAATGGCTGTACCTTCTTTATTTCGTTTTTTTGATGCAGAGCACTCAGAGGTCTGTTTCAGTAACTGCTGTTGTACCTGTTATTTTACTTTGTTTCAAGGATACCTTTTCATACTATCTGTTGCTAAATTGCCCTTGCAAAACTTCCTTTCACGGTTATACTGGCCCTTGTCCATAGCTACAATCTGGTCTCGAAAGTGTTTAGACAGTGTTGTTATTTAGTGCCATTGGTTACCGTGACATGCAGAAATTGGAAGATTGTGGGAAAACTTGTTTTTCTTAAAATCTCTGGCCATCAGAATGAGTTGGCTAAATCAAGAGTAGAACATACAAATCAAATTGCCTGTTGTTGGAAAGTACATTTCTAAAAGCCAAAAATGAAGGGAAAGAAATGCCTTTGTGCCATGACCTGAAATTCATCAAATTCCAGTTCTGCCCATAAACTTACAGATAAGGAATTTTTCAATAGAACACAGTTGCTACCTGTCTCATTCTCATCAATCAAATCATGCTGAGAAGACAGCAGCCTCTGAAAGCCCCAGGAGTATCCCTGACTTAAATACTGGCTTTGCGCTTCAAAGTTGAAAAGCCAGCACAACTAGCTTTTATGTTAACGTAGCCAGTGGTGAGTTTTCCCGCTAAATTTATTGGTAAATTTGTTAAACCACATTGTCCAAGTTCAATTTTGCAATAAGACTTGACTTTTATTAATTTTGGTCGGATCTTTGCTTAATTTAAACTGACTCCATTCAATTTGGCTGGGAGGCACTTGTTCAAAAGTGGCAGGTCCAGCAGTGAAATTGTTTGTCTGAGGTTCAGCACTCTCCTTGTTTTGCTATGGACTTCTCCGGGCACTTGTAATGATTTATTTTGGAGCCACTAAAAGCCATAAGTCACTTTCTGCTCCAAAATTATGACTCTGGCTTTAAAATAAAACTTTTTTTATTTGCTCTTTCTTTCACATCTGAGCTTCATTCAAGTCTTATTTTCCAGCCCTTTTCTACACCACCAAAGACAAAATCCACTTTGCAGATAAAACTGAGATTTTGGCATGATGTTGTGACACCAGAAAACAGGTCTTCAAGGAAAACATTAAGTATTATGAGACTCCTAGTAAAGATGCAAGACACATCGGTGAACTACTTTAGAAGTATAACCATGTTAAGACATCCAAACTGACAAGCCATTCAACTTACATGGTGATGGGAAGGAGCATATCTGTTCCCAGAATACTTTAGCCCATCCAGCATAGAAAGCATGGGTTTTAGATCCTGCTACTTGAAGAAAGCAATACCTTTATCTGCTTCTGTTGCTACTGTCAGTGACATAGGATAAACTTGCAGAGAGGTTCAAGCTTTCTCATTTTTCAGTCATTGTTTTCACCTGCTACAGGAGTTTCCTGAAAAAAGTCTGGTAGTTGCATCTTTGCAGTTTTACAGTCAGCACTGTAGTTAGCAATTTAAGTACCTACATGTTTGCTTGTTATGGATTTACACATAGAAAAGGCATAAAAGAAAAACTTTACCTGCAAAGGGATCACCATTTGGCACATTTGATATGAATGCATGGGAATCATCCTACAGTATAGATCTAATCTACTGGTATGAACTACCACATCTCTGCTGTATAATTAATCCGTGAGGGCAATTTGATGGGATAACATAGACCTTACTCCAAACTTGTCCATGTCTCTTTCATTTCCTAAGATAAAGCTCCAAACTAGAGCTGGACAAGTGTTTACTGCTAAGTAGCGTTGGATATAGAAGGAAAAGCCTGAGATTACAACTCACCTTGTCACAATTGCATTGCAGCTGTGGGTGATACTGCTTTTTTGATTGGGTGTCAGTGAATCTAACTGAGTGAGTATACAGATATCTGTGTATGACAAACAGCTTTTACAGCACAGTTCTCAAAGCTACTCAACATCAGTCAGGCAACACTCCTCCTGCCTTTCAGGATTTTCTTCCCCATAAGCTTATGCTTTTGATTCTTGGCAACCTAAGCCAATTCTCACCACGCTACTCCATTGCTGCCTGCTTGTGGTTACAATCTAGATGAAGCCTTGGCTGCTAAATTGTACTCAAGTAGGTCTCTAAGCGCTTTCTTGGGCAATCCATTTTCTCTCTTCAAGTGCCTGTTCATTGCGTAAGAAGTACTTGAAATTCATTCAATCTCTGTGAATGATGAACTGAACTCCTTAGGGCAGTTATTCCCTTCTTAGGGCTTTCCCAGGAGTGCAGACTAAGAAGCACAATGTAAGCTTTCGTCTTTAATCAGCTCACCTAAACCACCTTATGAAAAACACTGCTACTAAGGGGGACATTTCCAGGTGAAGAACAACCCAACCTTATATTAGTATCCATGGATATTCTGCAGAACCACCTCACATATTGAGCATGTTGTTGCAGGAACTGGTGTGTAAGCAGTCTGTAAACTGAAATGTGTCTTTAGAATTCAACTATTAAATATTTAACGCCTTTGTCTTATATATTAGTACTATTTATCTGTGCATTTCCAGAAAAGAAGGGAAATGTTCGAACTGAGTAACATCTAGTTCACAATTCAGGCCAGATATAAATGGAATCCAGAGTATTTTGCCTCTGTATTGATCATTCTTTCATACATTCACACATTTAAAAGAGACCTTTAAGTATAACTGGAAACTAATGAGATACAATTTACTCAGTAATACTGAGTCTAGTAAATTATTGTCTGATTTTGTTTTGTATCAACTGACCTAACACAACATACCATATTAATTTTGCCTCATTTTAAAAAAGCTGTACTTTTAAAGGGAGATTTCCTGTCGTTGTAAAAAAAAAATGGGTGGAGTTTCAAAATACTTATCACTGATCCATTTGCTTCCACTAAAGATGATAGTAGGGTATTTGGTTTCAGTAAATCATTATAAACTTCTGAAGGTATTGAGGAATACACAGAGTCTTCCAGGAAGCTTTTGCAATTGTTGAAAAGCTTTACTACAATACTTGCAATTTTTATTTCTTAATATTATGTATATAAAAAATGTTTTTATTATAACCATTCCTTTGTCAGGGGCTCTTTTTGTTCTTTGTATGCATTTCTGCAGTAACCGTTCCTCTCAACTGTCTTGATGTGTCCCTGTTTTTCACCACTGATACAAGACTTTTCTTACAACACATTTAGTATGCAAGAACTAATGAAGTCTTAAAATCTCCACTGTTTATCCAACTGCGGTATGTCCTCCTTACCCTTTGGTTTATGTTTGTGCCTTGCCAACACACTGCATTCATGAGCAAATCATGAATCTATTAACCTTAACACACTGATTTAATTTACAAGCTACAGTTAGAACTGGTTCACTGCAGCAGCATGTGTAAAAATTAGTTGAGCCAACTTCTGAAAACTTCATATCAAAAACATGTTAATCTCTCAAGCTGCTCTCTGGACACTGTTACGACATCAGATGAATCTCACTGAGGTCTTTCTGGATTAAAAGAAGGAAGTCATTACCTATTTTAATGTTTGCCAGTAAGTGTCCAGTGCCCTGCCAGAGCTGGCATATCTTAACCCAAAGGGTCACCAGCCTGAGCCATCAATTTGATACATTCTGCTGAAAAAGCCATCACCATCTCCCATTACATAATGAAACACACCAAGGCTGTTTTTTTCACAATTGAGTAGTTTCTCATCTGTCAATCTGGAAAACAGAAAGAATAATTTGGCTTCCATTTATATACTAAGTTATTATAAAGACAACAATGGTGACATTCAACAACAACAAGCACATGATCTTTTGGGTAAGTAAATGGACTGTGCTCTAAATGTAAGGTAAATCATGCAGATTAAAAGTATCTACAAAAATTAAAAAGCATTGAGCCCAATCCTCTTGCTATTCTAGCTACCAAGTACTTTGTTGTTAATTCTGAGAAGAAAAAATCCAGTTACATTCAATGAAAATAAAGGTCTATTCAAGTTTTCTCACACTTTGTAATACAGTGAGGGTAAAAAGGCATTATCAAATTAGATTAATTAGATCAGAGTTGCCAAATAATTTCAGCAGTTGTCATTTGGTTCTGGTATACATTGTCAGCAATGTATTTTGGTACCATTTTAATGTTACAAAGCAAATCAGAGAAATCATGTTTTACAATGTTTGAGGGAGTAATGGCTTTGCTAACACAGTTCCTCCTTCTTTTGTGATACCTAATTACACTTGGGTCTTGTGCAAAATCAGAGACAGAGAGACAAGTCAACTTGTAAAAAAGTAAACATATGCTATCCCTTAATAGTAAGAGAGAAAATGAGAAAATGTTCATGAAATTTGGGAAATTATTTTAGGTGAAAAATAATAGGGATCTTTCCAAACTGATCAGATATACTATATTTCACAATGAAAAAAAAAACAAACAAAAAAACCAAACCTTTAAAAATCGACGGAAATTATGTTTTAAAGGGTTACATAATCTAAAACCCCCACAGGTTTTTAGTCAAATCAAACTTTTCTCTTTCTCCTCCAAAGAACCAACACTCCCCAAATTACCCTTTCAAGTTTGATGAACCATGTACTTTTTTAATTATCATTATTTTCACGTATTAGAGACATGCATTAAAGTACTTTAGTTTCTTTGCTCAGGGTAGCTGCATATCAGCCACTGATTCTGATGGCAATTAAGCAAAGTGCATTCAGCAAGAGCACTAAAGTAGCAATTCCCCCTTAGAAGTACTGTAAAGCTACAACCTTAAAGCTCCCGTTCAGCACAGAACTTGAAAGAGAGCTTATTGTAGGCCCATCTTTCCACTGGTAACAGATATTTAATGTGTCACATGTATTCACACTGATGTATATATGCAGTGAAAAATTGACAAATTCAGGGGGATGCTTACAGCATCAAGAAGGAGGAGAATATTTCAAGGCCAGCAGAGGAAACCTAGAGCAGAGGAGAAATTAGAGAAAGGAGCTGCTTCCCTGACACTGTTCCTGAGCAAGCAGGATGCTGCAGAAATCTTGGTTTTAGAGATGGGATGTGGGAACCATCAAGTTCCACCCAGTGGTGGTCTTGCTGCTCATGTAGAGTGTCTGGGTTTTATTGTGCTCCTATGGGAAAGCTGCTTGGTGTCTGAAGAGCAAATGCCGCCTTCTTATGGTAAAAAGGTGCATGAAGTTTGTGGACCCAGAAGAAGGTCTAATTTCTTTCAAAAAATGCTGCATGTGGCAACTTTAAAGTTGTGACCTGTTTTGTCTACCTCATGTTTATAATCATATCGCTGGGAAAAGTTTCTTACTTTTCCATGTAAATATGCTAATGTAACCAGGTCATCATTTACATTTTTGCTCCACAACCATCAAAGTCTGCTCATGCTACAAATGTTCAACATCTTGCTGGGGAAAATAAATTGACCT